GATCATCATCACCATCGGCATCATCATCACCGTCATCATCATCAGAGGACGACGACGATGAAGCCGAACACGGAGGGGTGTTGTCATCGTCAATGACTTTCCCCTTCTTTTTCTTCGCTGCTGCTGCTTTTTTCTTTGCAGCAGAACTCTTTTTCTTCGCAGATGCGGACGCCTTCTTCACAGCTTTCTCTGCTGCGTTTCTTTCTGCCTTCTCCTTGTTGCTCGGTCGTCCTCTTCCCCATTTCGGAGCAGGCGCAATGTCTACCTCCGCGGTACGCTTCCTGCCACCGTCCCCCTCGCCAGGACGTGCTCGCCGATGCTGCCTCCTGCTTCCACCTTCTTCCCTGCCATCCACCCATGCCCCCGTCTCCTTGGCCCGCAGTGCACGGTCCCGCTCCTCCAAGTTGTACTGGACTTCCGGTGCTGGCCGCTCTTGGCCTGACAGCCTCCTCAAGAGACGTTCTCGGTGCCTCCCCGGCATTGTGTTGAAGTGCCAATGGTGTGTGTAATTGTTGAGCTGCCTGATGCCGTGGTCCATGTAGTCGTCCATGTCGTCATTGTGCAGCCACCTCCGTGCCATAGGGACTTCGTCATCCTCCTCCTCCCCCACTCCTCCCCCATCTCCTTCCTCCAAGTCACTCCCCCCATCCTTCGCACGCCTCTTGACACGCCGCACCCACTCATTGTAATACGCCTCCACCTCGTGCTCCCTCTCCTCATCAGGCATGTCCTCCAACCAAGGGATGTGAACATCAACCTCGCCCTGACCGTGTTCTTGCCTCCATTGCAGGTGGAGGTTCCAGTTGTTGTAAACCAACTTCGACAGGTGGGTTGGCAACATCTTCGTCCTCCTCCTCCCGAAAATGAGCTCATGTAAGCTCCAGTTGCGTTCGCATGCAGCAGATGAGCTTGCCTGGCCGAGCAGTCTGATGGCTTGAGGCTGCAAAAGGTACAGTCGCGACCCAAATGCATCCCACCACATCGCAGGCGTCTTTGTCCTCGCCGTGCACATCGATTCCTCTAACTGGAAAGACCCCTTGAAGTGCACCCACTCGTCCACCTGCCAGCTGATATCATCGAATTGCTCAGGCTTGCACCACGTGTACAACCAAATGTTGAATCCAGCCCGGATCTCGGTGTCCTTGAAGTAGCCGTCAGCTCTATACTCTGGGTCCAAGAAGGCAGCTGCACAATGCAACTCTGATGTCATGAATGCCCAGCGATCCATAAGGATCACCTCCACCTCCCCCTTCTCATGGTCTGTTAGCACGTCCAATTTACGGATGGACTCCACAACGGTGTCCATCCGATGGTAGACCTTAGGTAGCGTTCCACCGGGACCATCTACGAGCCTTTGAAGCGCCATGATTGAATCTGTTGTCGGCAACGCCTTGTCGACATCATCCCAAAATGTATCGTCCAACACTGTTGTTGTCGCCTCCTCGAACTGCGTGGCAAGGTCGGGCCGCACAATGTCGGGCACCCACCCCTTATCGCCCACTGCCACCTTGAGGGCATTGCTCACATCCGACAGCGACTTCAGCATGATGATGTTTGTGGCAAATCGAGTCACACCCGGCCTCTTGATCTGTGCACCTCCGGATTTGCTGAGGAATAAAGCCCGCACCTTGTCGTGGTTCATGATAAACTTCCCCAATTGATTCCCCCTCTTCACCGTCGTTCTGAACCACTCTAACGACTTGTTCATGTCCTCCAAGGCAAGGTCGAGGGCATGTGCCGTACAATCAACCCGGAAGATCCATGGATACTTTTGTTCCACCATCTTTCCAGCCTTCACACAAACTCTGGCATTGTCCATGACCACGCCCACCACGCTCTTAGGCCCAATCTCCTCAATCGCCCCCTCGAGTATACGGAAGTA